TATAAGATCCAAAAATTGCTTAATTTATCCAACATAAGATAGTCGATAATAAATTGTAAAGTTTTACTTATCTGAAATATACACTGAAATGTCCTCTTAGACACTAAAAAGCACTTGATTTTACGAAATTCATCCAAATGATCGTTACTCAAGCGGTTGTTGCTGAATTTATTACCGCTGTCCTTGTTGTACCAGCCACTGCTGTCTCGCCAGGAACGTTATTCATTAACCGGATTAAAATCACTTTGCCCTGGCCGAACACCAAGGGCACATAAATTAAGCAATTTTTGGATCTTATAAGTCATAATTTCTAGTTCTAGCGCCCTTGGTTCAAGAGTCCGATAAAAGCGACACCAAACCCACTTACAAATTTGATTATGCTGATTCAAATGATTGCGACTATGTCTCTATGACTATGATTAGTGCTGATATTTACCTTGGTAGCAATGTCTTTGTTGGCAGCCATCATGTTATTCACAATGTAAACACATCGAAATTTGATTTCAGTTTTGTCTGTAACCAAGTTTTCTTTTATAATGTCAAGCCATGGGTTCACCTAGAAGATATCAAACCAGATAAACTCAAAAAGTCGTACTTGTAATCGCCAATGTGCATCCAAGAAGCTTTGCGCGATTTTCTCACATACGAAAATTCGCCATCCCGACAATTTCTTTTAAACATTGAAGTCGATATGCAACGGTTTCTGATATGTAAGTATCCCTATGTTTGTCTCCATGTAAACAAAGAAAATTAAATATTTATATCTTTCCCGTAGAGTTATTCTTTTATAAGAAATAGCCATACCTTCAAGATCAAGCGACAGACAACTTCACTAGCAGTCAACATGGCTAACGCTCCACCAGCAGCTCTGTTGATACGTGGGAATGAAATTGCAGTAAAGAAATGGGAAAGAGAAAGGAATGAGAGAGAAAAATGAGAAATRAGTCTGAAMYTTTTTATGCTACCAGAGTCTCWCTCGTTTTGGAACTATTCTGAGAGTGCCTCTGCTAGCAGCTCTGTTACGTGAAAATRAAAYTGCAGTAAAGAAATGGGAAAGAGAAAGGAATGAGAGAGAAAAATGAAAAATAAGTCTGAACCTTTTTATGCTACCAGAGTCTCTCTCGCATTGGAAATATTCTGAGAATGACTGCGCTAGCAGGGAAGTGTGTGTGAGCCATACATGATAGGTTTTTACCTTTGCAGTGCAATGTCTTCATCGCCGAAATAGACAATCATAAGCTTTAGACGCTCCGTTGGAGTGTCCTCCTTTTCATATAGTTTAAATACCTAAAAACCGAAATGATAAAAATATACTTCTAAGCTGTACAATTCTCTACTGCGACTAGTCTTCGGTCCAACAGTGTCCGACGATAAAATTACGGTCCTCTAACAATAGGTGAGGGTAGTGCAGTCCTGTCCTCCTTTTGACCCGCTCCAGGACTCGAGGGGAAAGAGAGTCCAGTATAACTTACGATCGCAAAGCCACAAAGCTGACAATGTTATATTTTCCTGCGAGTCCTGGAGAGGGTCGAAAGGAGGCCAGGACTGGACTATAGACGAGTGCAATGGTGTGTGTGCAGGCACGTGTACTTTTGTTGTTGTTGTTGTTGTTTCGTTTTTGTTCTTCCTTTGTGCACTGTTATTTCTTCTATCCTTTTTTTTTAAATGATAATTTTGTAATTTTGTAATAATAATGTATACTTTAAAGAAAATGTTATTTGTAATTTTTTTGTTATTCAGTGCACTGTAGAGTAGTGTAATTTAATGTCTTTTTGTAGGTAATAGTTGTAGTTGTTTACCTATTTAAAAAAAAATAAAAATAAAAATCTTGAGTAGCATGTTTAGCATGCTTCCCCTAATTGTAAATTACTTTTGCAATTCTACTATTTAGTCCTACTCTGTCATGTTTAAAATAAAATACATATATAAAAAAAGAGTGCAATGGATTAAAAATGAATTTATCGAACATCACGTGACGTACCTCCTCGTTCATTACCATGTTGCACATACACTCGGTGGCAGCTCGCTTTAACATCTCATCTTCATCAAACATTAACATTTCAATATCAGGAAGTCCTTTCTGCTTGAGTATTTGTTTCCTTGATTAATAATCAAAGAATAATTTCTTAGGGAACTTGCATTCATTTGGACAAAGAGTCAGRTGGTTGTCAAACGTAAAAACTATTCCTATAGCCTCCACCGCAAACAACTCTTTTTTCCTCCTTTAGGCTTCCTTTGTAACGATCATCTTGCCGCTGCCCTCTCTCGCCCCWATTCTCCCTCTTACACAGGAAGCCCGTGATTCTTAGTGATGCTTGCGGAGGAGACTACTATTCCTCTTATGTTTCAAAGAAACACTTCATAATCCCCCAATGATTACTGCAACTTTCATCTCCCTCCCTCAGAGCTTCCACACGACAAACCTCCATACAATGATCCGCAAAATAACCTCCCCTTCCTCGTGGGGGAGGTTCCTCCGCCACAGAAAAAATGTCTGACACTATTACTTACCTTACATCGTCATTCAACTGCGCCAAATTTGTCAGTGCTAATAAAGCTTCGAATTGTGCAATTCCCTGTAAATTATGGCGTTTACTCCATAAGATTTTTTAATCATAAAGACACTGGCTAATAATAAAGTCTCTGTCTTACCCTCTTTGAAGGATGAAGCAGTTTGATGAGTGGACGGATTAGACCAAAACTCTGGTAAAAATAAAAAGAATAAAACACTGCATCGCGATAACAAATGGAAGTGAGAAATAGAATGGGAAGAAAGTGGGAAACAAAATACAGACAAAATAATGAACACTAGCCTCTTCCGCAGTCGTCCCTCTTTCCGCTCTTCTTTCTACTTTTGGGTTCCCTGTCTTCCTCAAAATGACCTTAGCCAAGGCCCCCGCTCGGATAAAGGAAGACCAGAGGGATCCCAAAAGTGCAAAATAAAAAGGCTAATGAACACAACAGAACCAACAAGAAACAAACAGAAGAAAAAAGAAAAATACTAACGAGCAATACCAAGAAAAAAAGCGGTAAAGATAGTGCTGATTTACTTACTCGGTGTCCTGGAAATGCAAACTCGGGGTTCATAGAGATAGCTATTTTAGCAAGAGCCTGAACAGCGCGGTCAACACCTTTGTCAGTATTTTTATCAGCCAGACCAAGAAGTGCCTATTATAATAATAAATATCATCGTTATGATTATAACAACCATAAAATTCATTAATCATAATAACCATAATAATAATAATATCTCACGACTTGGACTTTTCTGACCAAAAAGCGGGAAATTTAGATGGTACGGGCGTCAATTCAGCCGGAACAACAGAAAATGGCGGGAAACAGTGTGACATCTATCTGACCAAATCTGATTTTCCGGGAGTCTCAGTTTAATTAATCCAGTACTTCAGGGGAATATGGAGAGATTGGAAAGTATTCGTAGTTTAAGCAGACGTTGTTCTGGGAGGAACGGCTGCAAAGAGACCATTATCGTACCTTCACTCCACCCTGTTGTACAGTGACTCCACGATGTTCTTCGTCTGTCACAACACCGAGAAAAACTCTACATAAACACACACCACATTATATACAACTGATACAACTTAAAAGATTGATGATTCAGAACTTCGTTCAGTACCTTGCTATCATTTCTCTACTTGCTAGACTCTCTGTGTTTGACAAACTAACCAAAGATGATATGACACCTTCCTGTACCAAAACGAACAAATTAACCGATCAACCACGCAAAGAATCGCTCAATCAATTTAGAAAGCAATCAATCCATCCACCTATCAGTCAGCCAGTCTATCAATCAGTCTATTTAACAATTAGACTTCAAGGTCGAGTGGACTACGAGCTAATAGCCCATGAGGCCGAGTACGCGAGGCCGAGAGGTCTAATTGTTTTAGTATAAACATACTAATCGGTCAAATAATGAAAACAAATTGAAATATCCTTAAAATAATTTATTAATGAGATGCCGCCATTTTGATTTTCCCGCGAGTGGTCTATCACAAATTAGACCATTAGTAGAGTAGCCAATCACAGCGCAGTATGAGTGATAGACCATTAGTATGTTTATACTAATAATCATTAGATCATCAATCTAACACTTAATCAATCAATCAATTTGTCAATCAATCAATCAATCAGTCTATTAATCACTCAATCAATCATTAATCCAACATTTAATCACTCAATCAATCTGTCAGTCAATCGATCAAGTCCGCCAGGTAGTCAACAAATGAATCTTATCATACCTTAACAAGCTTGGTGGTTCTCTTTTTGACATATTCATCGCCATCCTGACAAAAACAACAAATACATTAATTATTCCGGTATTTAAACATTAAACAGTTTTTCTTATCCTCTCCTACTTGTACACGAATCACGTCAGACATAATCTTGTAAACTGAAGTTCTCAAAATATAAAAAGCTGTCCTGTTACTATATTGTTATAATTATTAACCTTTACCTTTTCAGAAAGAGTCGGCAGTTTAACTTTGGCAAATTCTCCCAGTTTTTTCATCTCTTCAGGAATTTCTGGCTTGTCAAAGGTGTTGGTCAGGTTGACCAATGTTTGACACACTCCGTAAAGCAACGAACTCTCTTTGCACTTAAATAAAATAGACTTGATATYATATAGTGTACTACTGATTTCTACAGATTGTGGTGTATATTTATAGAATACTTGTTTA